ATCGGGTTTTGGGGATGCTCCTGGAGTGCAGGGTGACCCTGTCGGGTTTTGGGGACCCTCCTGGGGCACGGGGTGACCCCATCGGGTTTTCGGGACCCTCCTGGGGCACGGGGTGTCCCTGTCGGGTTTTGGGGATGCTCCTGGGGTGCAGGTTTTCCCCGTCGGGTTTTGGGGATGCTCCTGGGGCGCAGGTTTTCCCCGTCGGGTTTTCGGGACCCTCCTGGGGCACGGGGTGTCCCCGTTGGGTTTTGGGGATGCTCCTGGGGCGCAGGGTGTCTTCCACGCCGGGTTTCGAGGCAGCCCCCACTCTGGTGCCGCCGGCGCGTGGCCCTCACCTGAGTCCCGGCCTGCGTGTCAGGGTGGTCTCGCCAGGGACCCCCCGTCCCTGAGCAGCCCCATTGCTTTCCCCTGGCTGGGAGCTGCTCCCACGGCACAGATGCTGCCGCTCGTGGCCCCGCTTCCTCGGGCTCGATGTCTGCCCCTCATCACGAGAGCAGTGACCCCCGGTGTTGCCTTGGCTTGGACGTCCGCTCTTCCTCATGCATTTTACATAAACCGCCTTTATCCACCTTGGTTTCAGAGATGGGGGCTGCTGGCCCCTCGAAACCAAATATTTACGCCTGCCCCTCGTCCCCTGCTCCTGCAGTATCGTTAATATAGCGAGTGTTTAAAGCCTGGCAGGGTGGATGAAGGAGGGGAGGGGTGAGGATAAGGGATTGATCTGTGATTTAAATAGAACTTTTTTTTTTTTTTTTGGTAACCAAAACATTTAGCTTTCCCTGTGAATGGTGGGTGGGTGTGTCAGACCCAGCACTGCTGCAAACCGCGCGCCACTGAAGACTGCTCAGGGCATAATTATCGTCTGCGATTCTTTCCCTTTTTTTTTAAAACCTTTTTTTTTTAATGTCTAACGAGTGATGCTGAGTCTGCTGCATTCCCAGGGAATGACTCACATGTTCCCTCTGACCTGGGATGTGTTCCCCGTGTTTAACTGCTTTTACTTTGATGGTAGGGTGAGCAGATGAGCGTGAGGTTGGCTGGGCAGCAGGGACGAGAAGGGATTGCCTTGAAAACGAAGTTCTGTTGTTCCTCCGAGAGGTCAAGATAAGCGGGGCTCACCGGTTTTGACCGTTAGATCCAGCCTTAGGCGTGTGGGCAGAGCTGGAGGGGGTGTGCCAGGGCTGCCACGGCTTGCTCGGTGTCGCAGCACCTCGGACTTGCCATGCGAAAAGCAGCAGAGGCTTGGATGGCTGGAGCAGGGAAGCGTCGGGTTTGGCAGCGATCATGGGGTGCCAAGTGCTGAACAGACCTAAAGCACCACAGCCTCTGCCCCAAAGAGCCTGCTGCATGAAAATGGCATTTTTAGGCCTGTGAAACAAGAAACGGGGTGCAGGGTTCTTGGGCAATGCCTGGAGGTTGGGCAGCACCCAACCCACCGACCTGCCCTGCCGCATGAATGGCTCTGGCAGCTCAGGCCATCGGTTCTGCAGCCCACGGCACTGGCCAGCTCTGTGGCCTGGGCTAGGGCTCTGCTCCTGGTTTTTAACGAGGTCTGCTAGGTAACTTCTTTGAGATGTGGGCAGCAGGAAACAGGAGGAGCTTCAGGCTGGGCTTTGCCAGGCTCTTTGCACCATCAGAGCCAGCACAGCGTCGTAGGTGTTTCTCAAAAGATGGGAGAGCAGCAGTAAGTACGCAGCCTTCTGCGGGAGAGCATGAGGCATCACCTAGTTGTGCCTTGGGAAACCTGATTCACTGTCTGCAAAGATCTGTCTCATACCAGGAGACTTCAGCTAGCTCGGAGGGAGGATTTTCTGGCTGTGGCTAAAGCTTTGGATAGCAGGAGATGGCCCTGTCTTCTCGTGCTCGGATGCTGTGTGCGGAGAGCTAAGCCATGCCATGGGCATGCTGCTGAAGGCTCTGCAGGTGGGCTGCTGGGGCCGTAATCAGTGCTGCTCCTTGGACTCAGGAAGCAGGGAAGCTTTTCCAGTGATTCCTTGGTCTGTTCACCAACAAACAACCAAGAAAGGTACCTTTGCTGGCTTGAAAATTGGTCCCTGGTGCTGGCTGAGCTATGGACACAAGGAAGCCGCTGGGCCCAGCTCTGGCAGCAGCAGGCGCGGGGGGCTTGTTCGTGGAGTGAGATAGTGGCTGAATCAGGCTGGTTGTAAAGTCTCTGACATGCTGTGACACTGCCGGTTCTCCTCCCTCTTGTGTCCTCCATGTGGTGCCACCTTCACGACTTGCTTCTCTTTTTTTTTTTGTAGCCTCCTCTGGTCCAAGCCATCTTCAACCGTGATATAGAGGAGGTGCGGTCATTGCTCAATCAGAAGGAGAACATTAATGTATTGGTGAGTGCTGCCCGGCTGTGCTCGCTCCCCTTCCTTCACCCCAGTCTCCCTGTTTCCTTCCCTGCAGTGCAGTTCTTTAGCAGAGGGGACAGCAGAGGCTCAGTGGGTGAGATGTGGATGCTGTCAAGTGGGGGCTCTTTTTGGCAAGGATGGTCAGAGCTGGGCTTTTGAAACAGTTTCTGGATTCTGCTCCCAGCTCGGCCGCCATTTGCTGTGCAGCTTTGTCCTGTTGCCTCGATCTTGCCACCTGTAAAATGGGGTGCCTGGAAGACCAGGACTCCCGCCTCTCCCCAGGAGATGGTGTGAGCCTCCTAAAGCTCTCAGCCGTGCAGAGCATCGCTGAGAGGCTGTGGGGTGTGTGGGAGGACTTTTCACAGAGGCTCGGCTTTGCTGCCTGCCAGTTTACCTTTTTCTCCTTCGGGATGGCGACCCAAAATAGTTTGGTGTGAACGCGGCAGGTCTGCCTTGTGATGAGGTTGTTCCCCAGGGGGGAAGGAGGATTTGAGCTGCTCAGCAAAGCAGAGTTCACCTCGCAAGTGTTAGGAGGGGTTTCCACTGCGCTCATCTCAAGCCTGACGGCAGAAGGTGGTTTTGACGCTCGTTCCGAGCGGGCAAGGAGGCTGCTGCCGTTCAGATGCATCCCTCTGGGTCCTGCAAGCGGCCAGCCTGGCTCCTGGGGGAGCAGCCCTTGGTAGCCCCAGTCTGGTGGTGACGAGCGTGGTCTGTCCTCACATGGAGTGTGGGGACCAGGCTCTGGCAAGGGAAGGGGTGAAACCTGCCTGTGAGCGTTCCCGTCTGACTTGTCAGTGTGCCTTCCCTTGATCTGGTTTACGAGCTTCCCGCTAACGAATCAGCAGCAGATGTGCAGATAAGAAACGCAGCCTGCTGCGATGCAGGCTGGCGGGTTGGCCAGCCCTGACTGCACCGGCCCAGGTCTGCCTGACATGGTGGCACAGTTGGACTGGTGCCGGGTCAGCAGTTCCTGTGCTCTCAGCCCAAAAGCCAGGCTAAGTTGTGAGCTCTAGGCAAGAGCAGCTTGTTCTGGTTCACCGTCTCCTCTGAGCTGTGGCATTAACTGGGGCTCCAGTCCACGCTGCTCCCAGCTGTGCTGCAGGCAGCTGCCGGCTTTTTGGCACACTCCTATTTGTTTCGCTGAGCGCTTGGTCAGGGCGTTCGCCCGACCCAGCCTGCAGAGCCAGGGCTGGTGCACACCCCGATCCTTGTGGTGTTAAACCCTGAGGTCAAGGGCGGGTGCTGCGGACACTGGCTGGTGTCCTGGGAAGGTGAGGGCAGCCCTGCGCTGGTGCCCGTGTGCCAGCAGGACTAACGATTTGATCATATCTTGGCTTATTACACAGAGATAGCGTGGGGATTTTTTTCTGTGACTGGTTCGGTTGGGGACCCGTCAGCTCTTCATCCTTCCTCTCTTGTCAGGAGAGAGGGTTGGGATTGTTTTGCTGAGCTCTCCCGCAGCTGCTGAAGGAATAAAACCACAATTGTTAACACTTAATTTCCTTTCTGTGTGCAGGTTTAGAAATGTTGTTGCTTGTTCAGTGACCTGCAGTTGGGTTTCACTTTCACATCCTCCTGCCTGGTTGTGCCAGCACAACTTGTTACCAAAAAAAATGAAGCCGCCACCATTTTCCAAACAGTTTTTAACCTCATGAAAAGCAGTTACATTTTTTCCCCCCAAACACAAAATCTGGGGCTTGAAATGAGTTGTGCTCCTCTGGCTTTCTACTTGTTTGCTTCCTGGCTTTAGTACATGGCATGTTCCCCAAGGAAAGCCTGAACCAAATGCCTGGAGGCAGAGGTTACCCAGGGCCCAGCCCTGAGTAAACAGAAGTGAAAGGTATTTTTTCTTCGGCTAATGCAATCTAAGATCAGAGAGGGCCTTCTGCACCTTCCTGGCCTTCAGCAGCCGGCAGGTTTGAGTCTGGTTTCGGAGCTGTCTGTAAGTCTGAGTGGTTTTTATTGTTAGCTGAGAGGATAAAAGTGTGCAGAATGGGACAGCCTGTGCACTGTCAGAGCGCAGCCAGGCTTTCATCTCGGATCGCAGAGTGCTTTGCAGACGTTCATTAAGTCCAGTAGCACCGGAGCCGTGTTGGGTCAGTCTCTGGGGAGTAAGTGGGGGGATGAAATGAGTGGCTGGAGTTCTCACAGCCTCCCCGTCTTGTGCAGGGATTATGGCCCTCGAACCCTCTGCTCTGGCCACTGGGTACACCCCAGTCCAAAGGGCTGCACACCCCCGCAGCACTGCAGGAGGGTGCTGGGTTTAAGCGGTTTTCCCTGTCCCACGTCCCAAGATGCTGCACATGCTTACGGGTGGCGTTGGAGCAGACTGGAGTGGAAGAGGGATCTCCCTGCCCTCAAAGCTCACAGATGGTTTTTGTTTCTTACACCCCTGCTCAGGACCAAGAAAGACGAACGCCGCTGCATGCTGCTGCCTACATAGGAGATATTGCAATCCTCGAGCTCCTAATACTGTCAGGTAAGGGCCAAGGCTCAGGGCGCTTGGCTCGAGCGCTGGCACTGCCTTTAAGGCGTTTTTCTGATCTCTGGCCTTAGGGGTGCAGAGAAATAGTTTTGGTCATCCTCCAAGCAACCGTGTGCTCATGCTTAAGCCAGTGGGGTTGCAGCCAGGGGAAGATTAGGAAATGTTGCCATAATCCTAAGAGGTTTGTTCAGACAGAGAAGCATCTTGGAACTGAAATAGCAGAGGTGGAAACCAAGCCAGGAGGGGGATGTGTGCAAGGTGTTAGAAGGAGGTACTGGAGGAGGGCACAGTGGGGATGCATGCCTCAGAGACACCTTGAATGGCAGGACGCTCAGGGGGGCAGAGTTTCACTTGCTCATGGAGAGGGGTCAGCTAAAAACCAGGGGATTTTGCTCAGTTTTGGCTTGTGTTACTTGGCATAAAGCTGCTCTTCATTTTTCTCCAGAGACACTCAGCCCTGTGCTTGGGTCCTGTGCCCCTGTGGTGCAGACGGGAATCTTCTCGTCTGCCGTTCACCAGTGCAGCACCTCGGGGCAACGTGGGCTTTGCAGCTGCTTGCTGGTGGTGTGGGGGAACCCCGAGGCTGGCACGATCCTACGTGACCCTGACAAGGAGAGACTTGGGGAAATCCTTTGCCGAGGGCTTGTTAAACAGGATTGGGGATGTTCAGCTCTGTCTGCAGAGCATGGGATGCCCTTATGTGCCCTGTGTTGATTTTTGCATGCCTGTGCGCTGAGGTCTCGGCAGCAAAGAAAGGCAGGGACTTCAGGGGTTGTGGGACCTAAGTGCCTAGCACAGATCTGGAGCTGAGATGGCAGTAATCTGTCCTTTCTAATACAGAGATGCAGCTCACAGCGACCACAGCTCACAACATGGAATGCTCTGTTTTTTGTCTCAAGTGGCCTTGATTTAAAGCAAGGAGCAAAACTGCTCGCTGGGTCTTTGCTGTAGTTTGTTTGGCTTTGTGAGGGAGCTGGCACTCTGGGAGATGTAGTCTCTTCAGTCTCCCAAGGGATGTAGCTTGTTCCACTTGCAGTTCACAGAGTCTGTCCTCACGTAAAGCTCAGTGCAAGGTCCCCTCTTGCAGCAGAACAGGCACTCTTGCTGGGCGGGTACCTCGGGTGGCTGCAGACCTGCCCTGAGACTCTGGAACGGGGGCAGCTGGTCACCTCTCTGTGCCCTGACCCCTCCCTTTCTTCTTCCTCAGGTGCTAATGTTAACGCGAAGGACACTGTTTGGCTCACCCCGTTACACCGCGCTGCGGCTTCTCGTAACGAGGTAGGTTGCCTCTGAAGTGTCCTCTGCCTCCATGTATGCTCCTTGTGTGGAGGTGGTGGGTGCTGACAGGAGGCAGGGATCATGCTTCTCCTTTTTTCCATCTTGCCTGGTTTTGGCTGAAATGGGTGGTTTCGTTAGAGTGGAGAGGGGACGAATGCATAATTCAGAGGCTGAAAATGAGAGCTGGAAAAAAATCTCCTTAGTTCCCTTCTCTCTGTCATTCAGGAATTAGCACATGGGTTTTCCCCACAACATCCTCCTCCCTGCCTTTCCCCCTTCCCCAGGGCTTTGTCTAATCCAGCTTTACATTTCTTTGAGGGATGATGGGGCTCTCACCCTTTCTCTCGGGTACTGATTCCAATGGATCTTGTTGGAAAGATTTCCTGATGTTTAGCTTTTGTGGGCTTAACTTCATCCCACTTAACTTTGTCCTGTTTTGATTTGCTGGAGAGCAAGAAACTCTGTGGTCATGTTGGTTGGAGCCAGAAGCCCTGACTCTGACAAGCAGGGCAAGTTACCACACATCGACTGGTTGCATGAATTCTCTTAATCGGCAGCAGACACGGGATGAAACACATAAGCGTAAACCTCTACTGAAGGCGTTTGCTGTGAACGTGTGTGGACAGTTACTGTAGGTCGCTAAAATACGGGAGCTGAGCAAGCTGAGACTGTTTTGCTGTCAGGTCTGAAGTGCTGCTTGTCTGTGCATTTGAGCACGCTCGTTTGCTTCTCTGCCTCGTCTCAGATATGCTGGAGAGTCACCTCCCTCGTTCTTTTCTTCCCCGGGGTGCTTGGCACAGGGCTCTGCCAGTGCCCTGCATGCCCAGCTCCTGAGAGGAGCCTTTTCGAAATACCTGCGTGCTTCATGCCTTTTCCTGCCTAGAGCCTGCTCTCTAGGATTGCTGGGTTTATGTACTGCCTGGCCGTTTCATGTGTTTCTCCCAGCTGGGAGTGGTATCAGCTAGCCCTGGGGGGGAAAAGAGCAGAGCAGCAAGCCATGGGGCTGAGATCACTGGAAGTGCTGCCCTGATGCTGCGTGGAAATGGACAGCCTGCAAACCATAGCAAGGAAAGTGTTGGGTTGCAACAAACAGCCTCTACCAGCAAAAGGGGAAAATAATTATCAAATATAGGTCAGTGGGTCACATTTGTCATCCCCCGGGTGCTTTGCACCTCGTGAGTCATGGATGAACACTCACTCACAGTTCCGTCACGTGGCTCGGAGGTATTTCTCCCATGCAGGTACCCCTGTGCAGTGGTGTTTCACAGCTGCACTCGGGTGGGATGGGGCTGGCTCATTCAGGTCTCACACACTGAACTCCATCCTGGAAGGAGCTGGAGCAGCCCAGGTGAGAGCTGGAGGATTTGCCTAGGGAAGATTCCTTCTCCCTGCTCATCCTTGGGGTCTCTCTAACGTTGTCTTTACCTCTCATATTTTGTCTGTGATAACATCCTGAAACACAGCTGTACATGGGCTTCAAAATGTCATCAGGGACACGAAAGCAAACAGAGTGAGGAGAAGCTGTACTTGTGAGCATGCGGAGCTATTTCAGCTCAGCCCTGCAAGGGCAGCTCTGGCTCTCAGGGCTGTAGGCTCGTGTGGATCTGGGCAGCCCTCTGTGTGCTGCAAGCATGAGGTGGACTGAGCTGCGGCTTCCCCCACCTGGCTGGAGGGCTTCTGCGGGCTCCAGCAGGTTGGGTTAGAGCTCTGCTTTTCTCTGCTCCTGCTAGAAGGCACTTCACCTCCTCCTGAAGCACTCGGCAGACGTCAATGCCCGCGACAAGTATTGGCAAACGCCTCTGCATGTTGCCGCTGCCAACCGGGCCACCAAGTGCGTGGAGGCCATCATCCCCCTGCTGAGCACTGTCAATGTCGCGGACCGCACGGGCCGCACGGCGCTGCACCATGCCGTGCACAGCGGCCACCTTGAGGTAGGCAAGGCGGGTTCAGGCGCAGGGGGTCCTGTGCGTGTCCCCTTGCTGGGTCTGGGCTTTGCAGGTGGCGAAGGCACCTCTGCCTGCACAAGTGGGGAGGAATGGTAGCCTTGCCTTTCTCACCACTTCTTCCTGTCCAGATGGTGAATCTGCTGTTGAACAAAGGGGCCAGCCTGAGTACTTGCGACAAGAAGGACCGCCAGCCCATCCACTGGGCAGCTTTCCTAGGTAGGTTTTCCCCAAGGGCATTGGTCTGTTTTTTTCTCACACGTTGCTTGCTGCCTATGGATTTGCCTTTCAGGGTGCTGGGGCTCCCCGGAGGCTGATGTGCCCAGGTCTCCATTTTCCGGGGTCCCCTGGCTCTTACTGCTGTCTCCTGGGCAGGGCATTTGGAAGTTCTGAAGCTGCTGGTGGCCCGGGGAGCTGATGTGATGTGTAAGGACAAGAAGGGCTACACCCTGCTGCACACTGCAGCAGCCAGCGGTCAGATTGAAGTTGTGCGTCACCTGCTGAGGCTGGGAGTTGAGGTAAGACCGCTGTGGCTGTGAGCAGGGTGGGCTCAGGTGCAGGCTGGTCTGAAGACAGGAGTAGGAGAGGGTGCTGGGTGGTGGCAGGAGCCCTGGCTGATTCTTGGCTGCCTTTTTTTCTTCCTGAATCCCCAAATCCTCTGGGGTTTGTTGCTTCCACAGATTGATGAACCAAATTCCTTTGGTAACACTGCACTTCACATTGCCTGTTACATGGGCCAAGATGCCGTGGCCAACGAGCTGGTCAATTACGGCGCCAATGTCAATCAGCCTAACGAGAAGGGCTTCACCCCTCTGCACTTTGCTGCCGTCTCCACCAATGGGGCCCTGTGCCTAGAGCTCCTCGTGAACAACGGGGCCGATGTCAACTTTCAGGTCTGGCGCTGAAGGATTGAGCTTGGGGAAGGGGGGAGCGGGGACCCGCTGCCTGATGGGAGAGCTCGGGGGGGGCTGGTGGGAATCCTGATGTGACGTGGCTTCTGCTCTCTACAGAGTAAGGAAGGGAAGAGTCCTTTGCACATGGCTGCCATTCATGGACGGTTCACGCGTTCGCAGATCCTCATTCAGAACGGTGAGTGGCTCCTTCCTCCAGCCCCGAGTTACCCCAGCCTTTTCTTGTGCTTCTTAGCACCTGCCTCCAGGACCTCTCTGTATGTTTGCTCGAAGGGTTTAAGAGCTCTACAGATATCACTCAAATTCACGCTGTGCTCTTGGGGCTGTTGCCAGTGGCCCTATGCTGCTTGAGGGTGGCAGGGAGCGTGCATGCTCTCAAGGGCAGCGAAGTGCAGACCAGAGGACTGAAATTCCAGCCAGGACAGAGCTGCTGTGGGCAAAGAACATTCTCACTGCCACGTCCAGCCTGAAAGACAATATTCTTGTAAGAGGGCTGCAGGCTTGGCAGACACCCCAGGGGTTCAGCTGGAGACCTCTGGGGCTGAATGCATCCCCTCGTGGAGCAAGAGGGAGAGATCTAATGACCTGGGTTTGCAGGACACAAGTGGCCTTTCAGCTCAGAGAGCAGTTTACAGTTCTTCTTCTGCATGATGCTGAATGGACTCAAGTTATTAGCCGTGTCCCTGAGACAGGGACATGGCTGTTGGAACAGCTTGGGCTGCTTGGGATTAGAACGCAGAGACTCACTGGCAAAGCTCTTGGCTTTTCCTTTCTAGGCAGTGAGATTGACTGTGCTGACAAATACGGCAATACCCCCCTCCACGTTGCTGCTAGATATGGCCACGAGCTGCTAATTAGTACTTTGATGACGAATGGTGCTGACACTGCAAGGTAAGGAAGGACTCTTACTCCCTTTCCCTGCCCTGGGCTGGAGGATGCAGAAATGATCCATTCTGACTTCCTTCTCATCTCCTGACAGGCGTGGGATCCATGACATGTTCCCTCTGCACTTAGCTGTTCTCTTTGGATTTTCAGACTGTTGTCGTAAGCTACTTTCCTCAGGTGAGTGGCTCAGCCACCCCTCCTGCAGCGGGGGCTTTCGGGGGACCCTCAAGCTTCACCCTGACACCCTGTCCCTCCTGCCACCCAGGTCAGTTGTACAGTATCGTCTCCTCGCTGAGCAATGAGCACGTGCTGTCTGCAGGCTTCGATATCAACACGCCTGACAACCTCGGGAGGACTTGCCTCCATGCTGCTGCTTCTGGAGGGTGAGCTGTGCATGGGGCGCTGGTCCGACACTGTGTGCAGGAAGGTTGCTGCTTGTCCCCAGCCCAAACTGTAACCCTCTTCTCCGCCCGTGAGCTACAGCATGGGCAGCCCAGTGCAGTGCTTTGGTCAGGTTTGGGAGTCGGACCCCCTGGTGATGTTCCTGGCTCTGAGAGAGAATGGAGACCTGTGTTTAGAGCAGGAATGAAAATGAAAATCTTTTGGCCCTCTTCTGCTGCTGACTCTGTGACTCAGCCCAGTCGCTCCCCTCCATGGCTGTTTACTCTTCTTTAAAATGGGGCTAAAATGCTTCCTTGGCTGGGGTTTCGTAAAGGGCTCACAAGCTGATGCCTGAAAAGCAGCAGGGATTTAGCTGGCTGTGTAAATGTCTCGTATTGTTTGCCAGGGAGTTTGATTTCACGCAGTGTGTTGAGAGCGAATGCGGCTGCAGCATTTGGTGGTAGCAGAGGTGTAGAGTCCTGTCAAGGACCTCATTTCTGTTATGTCTGCATGATGCTTGAGAGCCAGTTATGGAGCCATCCTTCGGCATCACAGTAATGTTACCCTGCCTGAGCGGCGGGAGCAATGCACTGACGCAGAAGCCAGAAATCCTAGATTTTTTTTGTAGCATAAAACCCAGTGCGTCAGCTGCACTAATGCCATGGCTGATGTCTCTCTATAATTGCCTGGGTGTTTGAGAGCTCCATGCAGTGTAGGATAGCACTGGTAAGGCAGGAAGCACGAAGGGTTATTTCACTGGAGAGCAGGCAAGAGCTTTGTGTATGCAGCATCCAGCCGTGGCTGCAGCTCGTATGCTGCCCAAAGATGACAGACTGAACTGAGCTTTGGCATTTCCAGGCTGTGCAGGTGAGAAGCGTAGCTGTTTTGTCTGCAACTAGGAGGAGTTTGTGTTCCTGCTGTGGTCTCTTCTGATCTGTGTCTAACTCATCTCCCTACCTCCTGTAGGAATGTTGAATGTCTTAATTTGCTGTTGAGCAGCGGTGCTGACTTGAGGAGGAGAGATAAATTTGGAAGGTAAGTGTGCTGTGGGCCTTGCAAGGGAGCAAGGGCGATTATTCCAGCCCTAAAACAGCTGGAGCTGCACCAAGCCTGGGTTTGGGTTGAGACATTCCTAAGACCTTTGCTGCGTTTGGTGTCTAAAGCTGCTTCCTCCACCCCCTCTCGCCCCGAGGCGTCCAGCTCTGCCTCTTCAGAAGGAGCTGCTGACCCAAACCCTTGAGCCAGAGCAGGGTGCAGCTCAGCAGCAGGGGAGGGTGGCTGGCTCCCTGGGTCCTGCCTTGGTGCCAGGCGAGTTTCGCCATCTGTGTGACAGGCAGTGCTGCTAAGGTCCTATCTCCTTTCCCCCTTCCCAGGACTCCACTGCACTACGCAGCTGCCAATGGCAGCTATCAGTGTACGGTGACACTGGTCACGGCAGGAGCCAGTATTAACGAGGCTGACTGTAAAGGCTGTACCGCCTTACACTATGCTGCTGCTTCGGACACGTACAGGAGGTGAGTGTCTTGGGGGTGCGTGCTCTTCGCTGCTGGGGCTGGAGACGATGGCTCACTGCTGGGTGGTGATGCTCTGCTGTTCCCTGGCCACCTGCCTGCAGCTGGTGCTCAGTAGTTTGTGAAGAGGGGAGCGCTTTGAGGAGCGTGGGTGGGAGGGGGTAATCAGCAAACTGATGCAGGTCTCTGACTTTTCAGAGCAGAGACTCATTCAGGAAACAGCCATGACACTGATGAGGAGCCACTGAAGGAGTCCAGGCTGAAGGAGGCATTCTTGTGAGTCCACGCCACAGCCCCATCTGGCAGTTGTTTGTTGTTTACCCCTTCCCTGGACCCCTGCATGCAGTCACTAGAAATACCTTGCTTCTGCTTATGCTGAACTGAGCAGTGATGCCTTGGAGGAAACATCTGCTGATTTGATTCTCGAGGCAAGCCTGGCCATCGCTTCCTGGTCCTCACTTCAGTGGGCTTTGCATGCGCTCCGTGTCTTGAGAGGATTAGTATGACGTCTGCTCTGAGATGAATTGGGGGGGCTCCCTGCAAAGCTCTGCCTCTCCAATATCCCCTTTTTCTTGATCTCCCCTTTTTCTTGATCTCCCCTTTTTCTTGCTCGTTGCAGTTGTTTAGAGTTCTTGCTGGATAATGGTGCTGACCCATCCCTCCGGGACAAGCAGGGATATACTGCTGTCCACTATGCAGCTGCGTACGGCAACAGGCAGAACCTCGAACTGGTGAGTGAGCTGGAGAAAACCCTCTGTGCTGCCAGGAGAAGGGGGAAAGCCCGATGGTGCCCAGGTGTGGCTAAAGGACTGTGTGTGTTGTAGGCACTACAGTGTCAGGGTGTGTCCGGGAGGAAGGGAGAATGGTTTGATTAAAAAGCGTGGGGACTCTTGGGGAGCTGTTGTGCTGGGAATACCACAGAGGAAACACCTGGGCCTGAGTGAGATGCCTGGGAGAAAGGAGCTTTGTTACCTGGTACATGGGGATGTATGGACGGCTTGCTTAAACCCCTGGCAATAGAGCAAGGTTGGGCTTTTAAAAGGAAGCCTGGAGACCTGTGCCAAGGAAGAGCTCTTGCAGTACAGAAAATGCCTTGTAACTGTCTGAAATGCCTGCATTGTTACAGGGTAAGCTTGCAGCCTTGTGGGCATAGGAAGTCATATGAGTAGTGGGGAGGCTTTGGGACAGCAGGGATTTGATGTGACTGTGCAGGGCCCAAAGCCAGGTTAAGGAAGGTCCTGTCCTGAAGTTTAAATCATTCTGGAACAGATGACCTGGTTTTCTAACCCCCTCTGCAGCCTGCTGGTGGACAGGTTGTCCATCAAAGCCTCCATGAGTCCGGGATCAGTTATGGTTTTGTGTTGTTACTGTTGCAGCTCCTGGAAATGTCTTTTAACTGCCTGGAGGATGTGGAAAGCACCATTCCAGTCAGCCCTTTGCACTTAGCTGTAAGTACATCTGGCCCAACCCCAGGATTGCGGAGGGCACTTGGCTCCGTGCGGGGTTCATGCTGAGCCCTGGAGAGGTGCCTGCTCCCGGGCAGCACGGGCTGGGTCCCTGCAGCTGTCGGTGCTGAGCGGGGCAGAGGAGGAAAGGCGCCGGCGGCTGGGAACAGCTTTCCCCACAGGCTGTCAGTCAAAGTCCCTTTGATTTGTATGTTAAACTCCTTGCTCTTTCCAGGGTTTTCTGGTTGCTGCTGTTGGGAGCCACCTCCCTTGTCTGAGTGTGGGCAGGGGTGGGAGTGGGCGAGGGCTTTGTGTGGCACCCAAGTGCAAATGAGAGGCAATGGCTGGGCAGGAGCCCATCTGGCTGGAGGAACCCAGGGGCAGGAATTGTCCTGGTGGGGGACTTCTGGATATAGCCTCTCTAGGCACTGCTTTAATGTGGTTTTCTTGGTCCTCAGGCCTATAATGGTCACTGTGAAGCCCTAAAGACACTTGCCGAAACCCTCGTGAACCTCGATGTGCGGGACCACAAGGGGCGGACGGCGCTGTACCTCGCCACGGAGAGAGGCTCCACGGAGTGCGTGGAGGTGCTCACCAGCCACGGCGCATCCGCTCTGGTGAAGGAGAAGAAGAGGAAGTGGACCCCTCTCCACGCTGCAGGTGACAGAGGGCAGACAGGGCTGGAGATGGCTGGGGGCAGCGAGGGAATGTGTCCAGAGCCCTTCCAGCTGTCGGGGCCACTGCTGCCAAGGATGCCCGTTCACCTGGATGCTGTCTGGGGAGAGGGAAGGGGTTGTAGTTCAGGATGATGCTTAGAGGCAGGATGGACCCAGTGCAGCCTGCTGTGATGTGCCAGTAGAAGCTGAGGGTCCAAGTGGCTCAGCAGTGGGTGGGAGAGAAGACGCCAGCAGCTTCTGCACACACGTGTCTTCAGCTCAGCCTGTGCACATGCTAATCAATCCTGTAGCCTAGCAACCACATAACGAATTTGCTCAGCCACGTGTGCCTGGCTGCTGGGCACGAGCCTCTTCCTTTGGTTTGCGGTGGTGGCTGGAAGGAGGGGACCCATCTGTACGTGTGTGTGACTCCTCCTTTCCTCATGCCTTGTCTGCAGCTGCCAACGGGAACACTGATTCCCTGCACCTCCTGATAGACAGCGGGGAGCGGGCAGACATCACCGACGTCATGGACATCCACGGCCAGTGAGTTTGTCTGGATGTTTCTCTCGGGATCTGTGTGGCACGGGGTCAGGCCACTTGCAGGGTGGCTGGGGCAGGGGAGAGAGGGCAATACTTGAACCCAGCTGATTTCCAAGCCCACTCTCCTCCCTGCTGCCTTTTCCCGCTGCAGAACCCCACTGATGCTGGCGATTATGAATGGCCACGTTGACTGTGTCCACCTCCTGCTGGAGAAGGGATCCACAGCCGATGCAGCGGACAAGAGGGGAAGGACTGCCCTGCACCGAGGGGTGAGTGCATCCCTCGGACTGGGGTGAGCCTGGAGCCCTGCAGCTTCTGCTCGTCCTCCTGAGTGGAGGCTGCTTGGAGGGCAAGCAGGTGGTTTCTTTTGTTGCAAGAGTCCTCAGTGAAAGAGCCCAATTTCCCTTCCTAAGATGCAGCATTTGAGAAGGAAGCTGTAGAAGAAGGGGATAGTTCTGTTGCTAAATGGTTGAACGCTAAGATCTGACCTCCTGGTCCTCTTTCCTGGCCACAGGCTGTGACAGGCTGTGAGGACTGCCTGGCTGCCCTACTGGACCATGATGCCTTTGTTCTGTGTCGGGATTTCAAAGGCCGGACCCCGATCCACTTTGCATCGGCGTGCGGGCACTTAGAAATCCTGAGGACCCTGCTGCAGGCAGCCCTCTCTACTGACCCTCTGGACTCTGTGGTCGACTACAGCGGTTACTCACCGATGCACTGGGCTTCATACAGTGGTAAGGACCCAGGCTGGGCCCCTGCCCACCCCTGCTCTGCTCTGGCTAATGATGGGAAGGAGGGAGCGAGGAAGAGCCAAATTGTCCCTCTGTCCCCCACTGCTTTGGGAGCCATCAGCCCAGCAGTGAGTTCAGCCTGGTGGAAAGGATGTCACAAGTCTGGTAGGGAGACAGGGAGTATTTCTCCCCCTGCCAAGCTCCTTAAAAAAGGAATGAAACATGAAAACAGCTATTATAGCACAGCTGAGGCTGCTTCCTCCAGGACTGTGAGATTTACAGGATTACTTGGCCATCACCCTGGCTGCAGGAAGTAGTGGGACTGATACAGCAACAGGAAGGGATGTCTCAGCATTTCAAGGGGAAGCTAGCAATGTGGCTGTGAAGTCCTTCAGGAGATGGTGTGGAATTAGAAACCTCCTAAAGTGCAGCAGCTTTGCTGCCAGAGAGGAAACAAAACTGCTGCCTCTGTGCTGGGGAACGGGTTTGTTTGGGCATTTTGGTGCCGCTGGTCCTGTGCAGCCTCTGGGGCCTCCTGCTCTTTGGACTTGGGGAGAGCCAGAGGGGCCTTCAGTCCCTTCTTGTTCTGTTACAGGTGGGGAACCACAGGCTGGGTTCTTATGTATTTCTGTCCCTCTCTTCTCACAGGGCATGAAGATTGTCTTGAATTGTTACTTGAACACAATCCGTTTGCGTACCTAGAAGGAAACCCCTTTACTCCATTGCACTGTGCAGTGTAAGTGGCATCTGGCACCTGCCCTGGGTTTTTCCCAGCCGGGTGATGTGGGAAGGGGGATATGTCGTCCAAGTGGAGGAGCTCCAAACCCTGCCTTTCTTGCCAAGGGCTCTTCCCTGGGTGGCAGCAGCTCCTCAGGGTGGTACCACCTGCTCATCCCACCTCCCTTGTGGCAGGGAGGCAGTTGCTGGACTGCTGGAGGTCCTCAGGAAGCTGGAAAGCAGCTGTCTCCTTGGCTGTGTGCAGCACAGTTGGGGCTGTTGTACCAGACTCCCATGCCAACAGGCTTTCTGCTCGATGGAGCTAATGGAGCTGCCAAGGGCTGTGGGTTCAGCCCTTGCCGGCCCTCTTGGATGGGTCATCTCTGCTCTTTGGTCATGGAGCAATCTCAGGAGATCTCCAGGCTTCCCACGAGGCTCTGGAGAAGGGCTCCACGTTGTCCCAAGCCTTATTCCTCAGAGGTGTCTGGGGCAGTGTGAGCATGATCCCTGGGGTCCCACTGGGCGCACAGGGGTTTAGGACTCACGGTGATTCCTTGGCTCTGCAGCCGGCAGAGGAAGGAGTGCACTGCCCTGAGCAGCTGTGGAGGGATGAGGAAGGTGGAGACATTGCCATGTTCTGCCTGGGTGGGTCTGGTGCGTCCTTGGGACCTGTAGCAGCAGAGGGATGGGCAAGGCTCTTGTCTGGCATGGTACTGTGTTTCCTTGAGTAATACTGAGAAGGCTAAAAGGGTGTTTTACCCTAAACAACTCCAGACCAGCTGCTGTTTGCATCCGAGCCCCAGGAACGTGCTGCTCACTCCCACTGCAGACGTGCTAATGCTGCTTAGTCTTGTTCTAACTTTCCCTCTCGTCCCCGCTGCAGAATTAACAACCAGGACGGCACTGCTGAAATGCTGGTGGAAGCATTAGGTGCCAAGATTGTTAATAGCAGAGATGCCAAAGGAAGGTGAGCACAGACTCGTCCCTCTCTTGTCACCCATGCCCCAGTGCTGCTGGGTGGTGGCTGTGACTCCCGCAGTGATTTCCACATGACTTCCCATGGCACAAAGGGAGTCTGACGTCCCCAAATATGTCTGTAGGCCTGGGCAGTCTTGCTGGGACGGGTGCTGTGCCCTCCTCTTTACCTGCTTTGCTGTCTTCCCAGGACACCCCTTCACGCTGCTGCCTTTGCAGACAACATCCATGGTTTACAGCTGCTTCTGCGCCACCAAGCCGAGGTGGACATGACTGACAAGCTGGGGAGGACTCCCCTCATGATGGCTTCTGAGAACGGGCACACTGCAGCAGTCGGTATGTGGCTGGCAGGCGCTTTCCCCAGTATGGGGTGCGAGCCTCCCTGTGCCCCCCCCGTAACTGGGTCCAGTGGAAGCCGGGCTGTCCCTCTCCTTGTAGGCATGCTGGGACAGCTGCCCCTCTCCTGCCCCCTCAGCACATGGCCACTGCCCCGCATTGCCAGGCTCTGTGCTGCTGCTTCTCAACAGCAGCTGTCCCTCCTCATTTCAGAGTTCCTGCTGTACCAAGCAAAAGCAAATATAACTGTGCTGGATGTCAACAAGAACACAGCTCTTCACCTGGCCTGCAGCAAGGTAGGGAGCCAGCCGCTCACAGCTGTGATTGCAGTCACCATCACCTTCAGCATTGCCACTTTAATGAGAAGGGTTGTCTGCCTACTCCTGCCCTACCAGAGTAAAAGCGAGGGCCCTGGGCTTGCTCTGCCTGCCTGTTTACCTGTCTTGACCTGTACAGATGCTCCTGATTCAGTTTTGAGCAACTTAAGTTGTAGCACAGAGCCGTCTCTATTTTTCCTGGGGACCTCCTCTCTGAGCTTGGTGTGTTTCCTGGGGCGTGGTGGGAGCAGGAGCTTGTGATCAGTGTGTCCACGCAAAGGAGATGCTGCAGAGGAGATGGAGGGGACAGCAGTTTGTCTTCTCAGGCCCTGCCAAAGCAGTGAACTGTTGTAGAAGGTTGGGTTTAGGGAACGTTTCCATATCCTGGAGAATCACGTTCCACCCAGACAGCACCAGGTCCCCTCCACTGCCCCTGCCTTCCTGCTTGTGCACTGTAAACAGTCTGGTCTCCTTTCCAGGGTCATGAAAAGTGTGCCTTGTTGATCCTGGGGGAAACCCAAGACCTTGGCCTTATCAATGCAAGTAACAGTGCTCTGCAAATGTGAGTATTTGGACAGCTGGTGCCGGTGGGGAAAAACAGGGCTTTGCTGGGTGGGGATGATGCGTTGGCAAAAGGGCGGTGGTAGGAGCTCCACTCCCACTGGTGCACGCAGTGAGTGTGCAAGCAGGTAAGCTCAGGAGCGGTCAGGCCCTGAGTGTCTGCCCTCGAAGGGGCCCCTTATTTTAGCACAAGGTGGTGGCTCTGCTGCCGGGTTAATGCCACCTTTCCCTCTCCCCCCAGGCCGCTCCACATCGCAGCTCGGAATGGGCTGGCCTCTGTCGTCCAGGCCCTGCTCAGCAGAGGTGCCACTGTGCTGGCTGTGGATGAAGAAGGTTCGTGTTCCTTGCGGGTGCCCGGGGAGTTTCAGTGTGATGTCCCTGGGGGACGGGGGCTGCCTGGGGAAGTGCTCAGCTGGGATCAGAAGGGTTTCCGCATCCCTTCCGTGGCTGAGCAGCATGTTCTCAGCTCATGGCATCACAAAAACAGCCTGGGTGAGGACATTATTAGCACTCTGTGATCCCCTGTAAGAGCATTTCCAGGTCCCACAGGTGTCTGAAATACATCTTTTGCCCCCCATGCATCTTCTGGTGGCTGTCTGGCTCTCCTGCCAGTTCCAGGCAGGCACAAAACCAGCCCAGCCTGAGCCAGTGATAAGCTGTTGACTCACTTGCAAGTTGGCAGAAACTGGTGGTTGTGGCCAGAAGCTTCTTCTCCCAGCAGAGTTCTTGCTCTGCTGGAATACCTTTAAGTTGTGAAAAATACCATTGTGTCTGCTGTGCTGCCAGGGCTTCTGAGGCTTTTTATTCATCTCCTGCTGATCCTGGCACTCTTCAAAGTGGTTGCTGCAATTGCAGGGATTGCCAGAAGCAGGGTCTTTTGAGATGAAGACAAATAGATGTCCTGGCCCCTCAGTGCAGGAGTGAAAACTGCCCCAGTCGAAGTGTTCCCTGGGGAAGGTGCCCATCTGGGGCAGTTCTTCACCCCTGGCTTTGTTCTAGGTCATACCCCAGCCTTGGCATGCGCCCCCAACAAGGACGTTGCCGACTGCCTGGCACTTATCCTCTCCACCATGAAGCCTTTCCCACCTAAAGACGCCATCAGCTCTTTCAGCTTCAACCTCCTCAAGAACTGCGGCATTGCAGCCAAAACCGCCGCCTGCGGGGCCCTGCCCAACGGCAGCACCTGCCCCTACAGCAAGGACCGGCACAATGCCATCGGCTTGGACGGCTGTTACTCGGAGTAGCTTAAACTATGGGTGACCTAATATCTTATTATATTTATTTAGAAATTCTATAAATATAGGGCACTTTAAAGGAGAACAAGACTGGGCAGGCCTTCTAGCGTGGCCGGATAGGCCAAGAGTTCAGAGCTTCCTCTTCTCGCTGGATTGCCAGCGTGGTGCCAAAGCTGTTAATTGGTTTCATGAGCAGCTGGCAGTGCCGTTCCCGTCCTCTGCCCCTTCTCAATCCTCTTCCCGTCAGTGTGTGCTCACACCCCTCTGACGGCAGGGCAGGAGACGGACGCTGCGGGATTAGGGCTTCACCTGGCTGAGATGAGGCAGGTGCCACCATCCACTGGCCTGCAGATGGGAAGGGGCTTTATCCCCCAGCTTTTGGGCTGGGTTGAAATCGGTTCTGGCATTTCCCAGTGCCCCATGCCAGCCTCCCGCCCTGCCTCGCCTCCCGGACGCCCCTGGGGCTGCCCTGAGCCCTCGCTCCAGCCGGCTGGGACGGGGAAGCCTGAACTCTTGGTGGGATTGGGGGGTGGGAGTCTTCGGGAATTGACTGGTCTTGCAAGCGCTGGGGTGGGTGTTAGCTCCTGGCCAAGTGCCACTGTAACTGCTCCTCTCTCGCAATCACTTTTTTTCTCACGCTCATCCTTCGATTCCAATACAAACACTTGAATTAAGATCTACTGTACCTGGGACACTAAAATATCCTTTTGGCAGCTGTCATTTATATGCAAAAACGGGTGCTGCTGCCCAACCCCGCGGTCGGCTGGCTGCGAATGCGCTGCTGGAGCCTCCCTCCCCACACCAGGCACTTTAGGGATTCTGTTGGTTGGTTGTTTTTTTTTTTCTTGGCAAAATGTCGGATCCTAAGAAATGATTCTTTTTTGAATTTTCGTTCTCTGTTTTGCGTGGCCGTTTCCATGCGAGAGTCAGTGTTGCTTTTTTTTTTTTTTTTAAAAAAAGAAAAAAGTTATTTATAAAGAAACGAACATTTACCTTTAAAAAAACAACAAAAACCATAAAAAAATTCTGAAAGTTTTAGCCTTTTAATAAGGAAAAAAATGCACTTCAAAGTCCTTATTCACAACCCTAAGTAAGTCTGTGTTTATTTTTCTAATGCAGCATCTTGGCAGGTTTATTAGTGTGCATGTATGTGGGATCATTGTTTTTTGTTTTGGGTTTTCTTTTTTTAATTTTGGAGATCATATTTATAATGCAGGTTTGAAGCATTTGAGAATGTTGCACTGTTTTTTTCCGTTGGTTGGGTTTTTTTTTCCTTCTGAATTACTGTAACAGTATCATGTGCAAAAAACAATACTCTTTCTCCATATCACGAGTCTGTTCAAAGCCAAAGACTGGGATGCAGAGAACAAGAACGGGCTGACAGGGCAACAAGCATTTCGGGAACCGTCTTCTCCCCCGACCTCCTTTCCCTCCACAGCCTTGCCAAAAGCAGGGAGCGCGGGGCTGGGGCCGAGTCTCCCGCCCGTGGCCACCCCAGGGGGGGTCCCAGTGTGATCCCTGCAGGATGGGAGCAGGGAGAAAAGGATCCCTCTCTCCCACCAAGTCCTTGGTGGCCACTCGCCTCCTCTTTGCTGGCAAGGCTGTGATGGGACCATGCGAGCCTTGTGCTGTGGCTCTTCTGCCCAGTGTTTCAGAGAGAAAAAGCATTTCTGTAACCAAAATAAGGTATTACGTCTTTTTTCTTCTTTTTTTTTAAATAGTTTCTAAATGAAGGTGGCTCCTGTTAGGGTGACGTTTGTCGGGTTTAGGTTGTGGTGTGGAGCAGGCATTGGAGCCGGCCGTTGCTGGGGGAGGCTCCCAGCGGGTGAGGGTGCTGCTGGCAGCCTGCAGGGAGAGTCCCCTCGCACTGTTTCTTTCTTTTACCAAAGCCAAACTCTTAGAACCAAATATGAAGTTTCAGTCTTGGCCTTTGGGTGATAAGCACATTTTCTTCACGTTTCACATAGGAGTTTCTCCTGGAGGGGAGCGGGGTGAGGGACCTCCCGTTGCTCTTGCTCAGCACCAGCTCACCGGTGGAGCTCAGTCTCCCCATCCCATTACCAACCTGCACTTCATTCAGCAAAGCACTCGAGAAATTTGCCCTCGGTGAGATCTTGGAGCAGAGCAGTGGTCAGCCTGGTCTCCAGAGGGCTCCGGTCCCTGTGCAGTGGAGGCCGGGCATGTCTGATGGGCAAGGCTCCCCTGGCTGCTCTGGAGGGATCTTCCCTTTCCAGACCGTGAGCCCCCTCCACCCCACTCTTGGCAAGGTGGTAGCAGTGGCTCGCTGGTCCAGTGGGTCCCCTCCTTTGGTGCCAGCGTAGGATCGTGTCCCTGGCTGATCGTGTCTCTCCCTCCCCGCTCCCCCCCAACCCTCTAGCTTGAAAGAAAGTGTTAACCTTTCTGCACCGAATACCTCAGTTCGGAACCAGAATAAACTTACAAAACTTGAATAAAAAGATCCTTTTTGAAGATCCTTTTCAGTATTCTACAGAGGAGAACTGGAAAAAGAGACTTGTTTACATTGCTGTCGAGTCCGCACTTGCCTCTTGCAGCTCTTTCCCTTTCTGGGAGGAATTTAGGCATCACTTTATCTCTTCTTCTTGCTGCCGGCCCTCTCCCTCCCCGCAGGACAGGAAAATGGGTCCAAAGTCCTGAGCCGTCATCTCCAAGGGCTAAAGTACTTTTTCAGGCACATGAAGGGGCTGAGCCACCACCAGCCTTGGCTCCCGTCCCCAGTGCAGGCAGCGATTCCCAGGGATGGAGATGGGTTCGGCGCAGGGCAGATCCTGGGGCCGTGATGGCTCCGTCTTCTTGAGCGATGCTCCGGCTCTCCCAAAGTCAGTTGGGGAAAGCTGGGAGGCACCAGCAGAGCTGGGCCGTCCCCTGCCCGCCGCAGGAGGGGTACAGCCGTGCCCCTCGTGCCCTGGTCCTTGATGCCGTGTGGCTTTAGCATTGCTGACGGGGGATGGGACTCCAGCATCATTTCACTTGAACACAGCTTTTTCCTGTACAGGGTGAGAGCGTTCCTTAGAGCACATGGAGAATGCTGCTTTTCCTTCACCCTCCCCTTATTTTTTTGGAGTATTATTGTGGCTTTCAGTTTCTTTGTTTAGAGAAAAAACCTGATCTCTCTTTTGGCCTTGTTTCTGTGCTATGACGTGTTACCTTCTGCTCAACATGATGACTAAAACTATGACGAGACAATCAATGTGATCTCTGTAAGGGCTTCTCCATTTCTTCTCTGCAGCACCATGCTTTATATATGTGTGTTCTTTGCTCTTAGCGAGGATCTTTTTCTCCCCTCCCCTTGTGTCTTATTAAAAATAATAATAATAATAATAATAATAATGATGGAGGGAAACGAGGTTTCAGCAGCGCATCCGTGGTCTGGGAGCACATGGGAGGAAACATGGGGTGGGGTGGGAAGGGGGACATGCGGCCAGTTTCCTTGCGGGTACCAGTCTTGTTCTCCTTTAACGCTGTATTGTATACATTTGACAGCACAGCTTGACAATTTAAGTAATAATCAAAGTGTTTGGTAATAATGCATTATTTTGCTAAACGAGATTTGTGATGGTTTCCCTAGTGCATTGTAAAGAGGGATGGAGGGAAACTTCCGCTGCCCTGCCCGCTCCCCCCCTGCCCCTCATGGGGCGCTGGACGGGGGCTCCCCCAAATCTTCCTTCCCATGGACCTTTATGCCAAAGTTGGACCATTCCCGCTTAGTGTTCTGCCGGCGCCCGGCATCCGTTTGGTGTAGCTCTCACTGAGCAGCGACTTTTTCGGCTTTCCCCCTTCAATGCTACTTAAATCTCTTGGTTTCAAATACGCAGGCACCGGATCACCCCTCCCCTCCGCTGCCCCAACCTCCAAAAAAAGGAAGTTTCTCTCCGCCCCCTTGGTCCAAAGCACTTGCTTCAAGTAATAAGCACTTTTGTTAAAGCATGAGTCTGGATTCCCTTTAGCATCCCACGGGATAGAGAGCAGCAAGAGCGGAAGGGATAAGAGAGTGTCTTTGGTTTTATTTTTTCATTTTTAATTTAAAAAAAAAAGTTTGTTTCTAGGGAATGAATGAACAAAGGGAAGTTGTGTTTTGAGAGAGAGAAAAAAAAAACAGCACAAATACATTTCAACTCAAAAGGTGTATTTGCACTGCCATTGCTAGAGAAAGGGGCTGCCAGCCCTGCGGCCCCGCTGAGCCATATAAACTGCTGACAAACACTGAATGTAACGTCCTTGCAGAGGGCAGCCCAGGGAGGCTGGGATTGGCTTTATTCTTGACGGGCACTTCAATGAAATTCAAAAATAACCTAACGATGATGAGAATCTGGTTGGTGTTTCTTTGTTGTTGCTGTTCCCGAGCTGCAGGCAATTTGAAACTTTTTTTTGCTTTTGGAAAATGTTTCCCCCCTTCCCGTCCCCTCTCCCCCTCCGCCCCATCCCTGCCCCGGACGGAGCGAGGAGCTCCCTCAACCAAAAGCGAGATGCAGATGAGTAGTCCCCAGCCCTGTTGACCACGTTGCAGGGCTGGAATCCAGCAGATATAAAAGTAGCACTAAAAACAAAGCGAAAACTCCAAAAAAATGGAACAAGGTTTTTTTTCTGTTTGTTTGTTTTGAGCACTCTGAGTGTGGTAGTGATTCTGTAGATACCCCGGGGTCCCCCAGCGTGCGGGGTAAGGTGTTAGTGAGAAACAAGTGAAAAACCAAAACAAAGAACAACCTGCAAAGACCCAAGAAACAATCTTTTTCTTTGATTTTATTCTGTTGTTTGGAGGGATGGTGGGACAGGCCCGGGGAGCTGCCCCTGCTCTCCCTCCCAGCTCCACTCCAAGGGTCCCCGTGTCCCCCCTGCCTGCCACAGGGACCACAAACGGGGGGACCTCGGGGTCCCCCAAGGCGTGAATGTTGGGGTCAGACCTGTGCAGACTGTCAGCCCACGCTCACCTTTGCCTTCAGTAAGAAACCAAAGGAAAAACCAACCCCTTCCGTTCAAGATACTGGCACGGACACGCGGATTCTTTGGTTCGGGGGTTTTTTTTTTTTTCTTTTTTTTCTTTTTCTTTCCTTTTTTTCCTCCTTTTCTTTGTTTCTTTGTTTTTCTCCAAGGACGCGAGGAGCTGTTCAAACCTCTTCTCCTGGCTGAATTTTTCTGGGCTCAGCAGTGCTGGGTGCGTTTGAAAGGAGAAAAATAACCCAACAAAGCCGAGACTCGGCCGAAGCATCGGCGGGAGCTTCGGAGCAGGGAGGCAGAGGGTAACGTATGCACGAGGCGAGGGACCTGCCAGGAGCTCTCCGAGGGGGAGCAGTGGCTCTCTGCATCACAGCTCTTTAGTTAAACTAAAATCCTCGGAGTCATGGTGTGAGGCTGGAACGGGATGGAGTCAGAGCCTCCGAGGGGCCGGGTGGGGAAGGGGAATGCGTCTCTAAGGACTCGAAGGCATCTGTAGCAAGCTCTGTGTCTTTACAATATCCTGTGTGTAAATGCTGCACCTCTGTATATTATGCACATAAACATTTCTTTGAATAAGATAGGACAGACCTCATCACCAGTCAGGTATAAACGACTCTTCCTCTTCTGTGTCTCGGTGTTCTGGCGTGTGTGTGCGTGCAAGCGGTTCGTGTGTGGGTCCGTGTGTCTGGGCGTTGTCTGAGCTTCCCATGCAGGGGAGAAGGAGGGAAAAAAGAGGAAAATAGCCTTACTCGACCCAGTCGTATCGATATTGTTCGTCAACTTGAAAATAATAAAGTAAATGCATGGAAACCTCTAGTTGAGCCACGGTGCCTGACCGTGGGTGTGATGTTTCGGAGATCCAGGGTGCCGAGTGTCTCGTGCCGCGCATCCCGAAGCTCTTGGTCCTACCGGGGTTTCTCCTTTAGCTGTGGAGGGTGGGCGGCTGCTGCCTCGCGTGCCTGGTCCTTCCTCCTGTCCTTTCTTTTTCTTTTTTTCCTGAGGCCGTAGGGAGTGAATTCCTCACGGCTTGACCAAAACTGCCGTTTCTTTGGTGCTCTGCACTTAGTTTCCAGGGGTTGTCCTCGGTCCTCAGAGCCCCGGAGTGCTGCGGGTCCCCACCGTGCTGCTCTGCCCGCCCGCGGCCAGCGCTGCCCATCTGTCCGCAGACCTGCCGCCGGCTTCCTTGCCCTGGGAGTGAGCCCTTCCGAGCTCTGCCTCCAGCGAAGGACATGGATGGAGTCGCCGGTCGGGTTAGTCTGAGTTGGATAAAACACGGTGGCTGCCCCCGCTGGGAGGAGAAGCTGGGGAGGGGGCCAGAGGCATGAGGGGTCCTGTCCCCCCAGCCCCACTGCAGGACGGGGTGAGGGCTCCCGGCATTTGGGCAGCATTTGGGTGCCTTGATGCTGGCAGTGTTGTTCCATTCCTGAATTTTGCACTATGTGAAGCGTGGCCAGTTTAGGAGGGGGGGGTGCAGAGGGGGGCTGCTGCCTGGCTCCTGCCTGCAAGAGACCTGGGGGGCTTGACCAAAAGGAAAATCAAAGATAACGTAGGCCGGTTGTGGGTGAGAGGGTCCCAATGCGCCGGGAGCTGCGATGCGGGGAGCTCGGAGGGCGTTAAGACAAACCCAGAGCCTGTCCTGAGCACCAGGCTTGAGAATATTTTTCCTACCTGAAGGTACTAACCAAAATGGCTGCTTGCTTCAACGTTCCCCTGCCAGAGGTGGGCTGGGGGGCCGGTGGGGGGGTGCTGTGCAGGGGCTGGCTGCAGCTGAGGGGAACAGTGCTTGGAAGCTGGTCCTTGTCCTCCTGTGCCCTAAAAAACTCTTGCATCCTCTGTCACACGCACCTTAGCCCTTACTGGCGTCTGGCTCCAGCTGCGGGGACAAGAGGTGGGGTGAGCAGAGGAAGGCTGAGATCCTTGCCTGTTCCCCCAGCCAGTGTCCCACAGCGGCTGTGCTCCCCTGCAGCTGGTGGGCACATGCGTCCTGAAGCAACCTGCTACAGCCATCACGTTTGGCAGCATGGGCTTGAAAATTGCACTGAAATCGTTATGTGCCAGTTCCTCCTCCTCCAACAGATCTGAATTTCCCTTTGACCCCTCAGTTTTTCCCATCAGCTTGTGTTTGTTCCCTCTCCTGCACACCCCAAACCTGCTGAAGCTCCTGTCCCCAGTGGCTATAGCCACAAGAGCCGGCTTCAGGCCAGAGCCTCTCCCGGCGGATCTCCAACTCCATCCCAGCGCGGCAGAGCAGGGACTGGGCAGGGAGCTGCCAGACCCACAGTGGAGGAGGTGGCTGGGCTTCGCAATGCTTCCCTGCTCTTTCCAAACCTGTTGGTGTCTGGGAAATCTTGTTAAATGCTGCAGGCGTCGGGCTGGATTCTGTCACGGGCTGGGATTTAGTGTGAGCTCGGAGCAGCAAGCTGCAAGCGGGCGTTAGGGCAGGGCTGGGCGTTAAGAAATAGTGTCTGTCTGCAGGCAGGGTGCAGTGCTGCCAGTCAGACCTCCTGGCTCCCAGTGCCTGGTGTTCCGCACTGTCTCTGGGGTCAGGAGCCTGGATGTTAGGCATGCAGGTTCGTATGTCCGTGGGCACACAGGTGCTGTGTCTCAGCAGGCGCTCTCTTAGCTTTAAAGATTTCCGAGTCCTCAAAGACCCCTTTCAAAGTCCATTTAAAGTCGTTTGGTAGGTCCTTCCCTTCCCTTTTCCTCCTCAATACACGTGGAAGGGAGTTTACGGAGATTTGCTTCATTTCTCGCCTGTCCTGTGTCAGGGAAGCACAGGTTGGTAACGAAGGGCTTGGGCTCCCCCCTTCCTCACTGCAGTCGGGTCTCGGACTGGGCAACCTGCAGCCTTTCAGACTGTTCCACTGGCTGGTCCAGGTTTGACGCCTGTTAACATCCCTCTCAGACCATATTTCAGGCTGTCCCAGGAGGCAGCAGAGGGTCCTCTGCCTGTTCGCCCATCCCCTTGTGGGTATCCAGCGCAGGTGATGGTGATGGGATGGGGAGGGGTCTTGGGCATCTCCCAGTCCAGCTGCAGATATGCCAAACACAGGGAGCAGGCGCTGGTGCTTGGCAGAGCCACTCCTGGGAATCCGCAGCTCCCCTTGTGGGGATGAAAGCCCACCCTCGCTCCTCACCGGGCCAGGACTGGGGCAGCTGCGGGGACATTCGCCCGCCCATGGCGTGACCATCCCCAGGGCTGGCTGGACCCCAGACCCTTGGGCACCACCCGGGGCCTTGGACACTCCAGTACCTGGTGCTGTTTTTTTGGCTTTTTCAGACCTTTGCAGGGAGCAGAGAGTGACGTTCTCTGGGGACAGGGGCTGAGCTGGTTCCTCTCCCAGTTCCGTCTGCTCTGTGCAGCCTGAGCGCTGGTGCGAGACCAGACCAGGGACAGGGTGCCCGGATCATCTCTTTGCCCTGTGCTGCACCAGCTGTGGGAAGAACCAGCACAGGATGGGAGAGTCTCTTTAGGTTCGTTTTTGGGGTGGTTAGATAACGAAGAGCTGCTTTAATTTGTGTCTTCTCTGCACTGTTCACACCTACCTCTGGCAATAACCGGGCTGGGGCACAGACCTGGGGCAACGCTTTCACTCCTCTCGGACCCGCAGCCTCAGCGCCGGACCAAGACAGTGCCACGCATAGTGAGCGTGGCTGAGCGAGGGCAGGAGCGGCTGGGCTCTCCCTGGATCTGCCTGCAATGGGCAAGCGCCCCGCTCCCAGCAAGGAGTGGGTCGAGGGGGAGAGCGGCCCCGAGCGAGCCCCTCGTGTGCTGGCCTGGCGCGCTCGGTGTGTGCCGGCCCCGTGTGCTCGGCGTTTGCCTGCGCGTCTGTGTGTAGCAGCTGCTTCATCTCCTCTGAAGGTTTTTTTACTTTAACTCCCTGGCTTCGTTCCCCTCCAGTGCACTGAAATGTGGAACCTGCTGAGCAAAAACCAGCATGCGGCCGTCCTGTTGTTCGTCAGTGGCAGGGCCTTAATTGGCAGTCGTTCTTGCTGGGGACCTTTAACATGGATGCCTTTGTACTTGGGCAGGGAGGGAGAGGTGAGCGCGCCAGCTTGAGCGGTCGGTGCCCGAGCGTCCCCACGGCGAGCGCCGTCGGCACCATCCCCATCCGAGACCCGGCGGAGGCAGGGTCTGCGCTCCGTCCCACGGTGCCCGTGGTGCAGGTCCCGGTGCTGCCACATTGGCAGTTCAGGCATCTCCCTCCCCTCTGTAGGTGCTTTTTCCTTCAACCACTGGTTCAAAGCACAAGCGCGTGGCCTGGCGGGGCGAGGAGGGCTCTGCTCCTGGGGGGCGCAGGGGCTCCCAGCCCCTCGCACCCCCCCGCATGCCTGCCCCGTGGAGACCCGCCGCAAGTAGGGTAGAGTTTTGATGTGCAATTTAAAAATAGGGAAAAAAAAGTATGAAATCCCCCCGGGGCCATCATGGCGGCCTCGAGGTGCGGGGTGCCTTGGTGGGCAAACTGAGCCATGTCCCCCTGAGCTTGCTGGTTTCTTGCCCTTCTCCTGAGAGCAGGCACCCCAGAGAGCCCCAAAATCAGTCCTGACCAGCGAAGCACACGTCTCTGGGTAGAGGAAATTGGAGCGAGCAAAATCCCTTCGTGTTGTGCAAGGGAAACAGAAAGCCGTTCAACCCCCTCGCGGTTCTAGGGAGCAAATATGAGGTGATAGGTAGGAGAAGAAGGAAATCAGCCCAACAAGCCATCCGTCCCCGCAGCGCAGACGCTATCCTGTCAGCCTCCTCCTCACCCCCGCCTGAGCCTAGTGAGCGGTTACTTTTGTCTCGGATGTTCCATATATGTATTTTCAGAAATCCTGCATCACCTTCGGGGAGGGAGGGGGGAAAAGGAACTAAAAAGAAATAAAAAAATAAAAAGGAAAAAAAAAAAAAAAGAAAAAAGCATTCAGACTTGATCTATTTTATACAATGTAAGCTGCGACCAAGTCCTGTTATTCATATTGTGGCTTTGAATCAATTATGTTTATTAAAATGCTATTGCTTCTATCTCCTGTTGTCCTTTCTCCGCTAATGGCTGCTCCAGTGGGAGTGGGAAGGGGAAATATGCTCGACCTCACCCCTGGAGCTGGGCGTGCAAGCACCCCATTGCTGTCCCACCCCGGGGAGTGCCGGGTGCCCCCACCTCCCCGGAGAGGACATGGGGTGGCAAGGGGACCCTCCCCGCAGGGATGGAGGGGCTGAGCCACGGAGACTCCCGGGGATGGTGGATGCCGCTGGGGGTCTCACAGGAGGGGAGAAGGTCCAGTCTTGGGGGCATGTTTGGGGCTTCCGTCATCCCGCCGTCCTTCCAGCTTGGCCGCTGCTGGCTCCGGCCGCGGTTCCTCGCTCCGGTTGGCGGTGGGAGCAAGCGGGGCCAAGCCCCGGTGTCGCTCAGGGCTGCAGCCAGGCACGGACATGTCCCTCGGCCAGGGCGATGCCCAGCATGATGCCACTGCCCAGCAGGAACCCCGCATTCTGCAGGAGCAAGCGGCCCCAGGTGCCCTCGCCAGGGCCCTCGGCACCCTGCAGCGCCTCGGGGAGCTGGGGCAGAGCGGGGGGCTCAGCGGGGCTGGAGTGAAGCCCAGCCCCGTGGCCGGCCCCCCCCCGGCCACCCCCTTACCATGTCAGCCAGGGCCACGTAGAGGAAGATGCCGGCGGTGGCAGTGAGGATCCAGGGGGTGAGGTGGGACGCATTCTGCCCCACGGCTGCCCCTGCCGCCGCCCCCAGGCAGGAGAGTAGGGCCGAGAGCAGGTTGAGGAGCAGGATGGTGCGGGGGGCCGTGCCGGCCCGCAGCAGCACCGCCAGGTCGCCTGCAGCGAGAGGAGGAGGGTGGGTGGCTGGGGTGGCCGTGGGGGCTGCCATGGCTGGGGTGGGGGGCAGGCACCTACCCAGCTCATGGGGCAGCTCGTGGCAGAGCACGGCCAGCGCCGTGCTGAGGCCACTGGAGAGGCTGTGGGAGAAGGCAGCACCTGCGGGAAGAGGGTCCTTTGCCCCGGACCTGCACAGACCCTGTGCACCAATGCACTGTGCACCCCCATCCCTGTGCACCCCTTGTTCCTGTGCCCCAATGCACCGTGCACCCAGTCCCTGTGCACCCCTTGTTCCTGTGCCCCAATGCACCGTGCACCCAGTCCCTGTGCACCCCTTGTCCCTCTGCACCCCTTGTCCCTGTGCCCCAATGCACCGTGCTCCCAGTCCCTGTGCGACCCTTGCCTCTCTGCACACCTTGTCCCTCTGCACCCCTTGTCCCTGTGCGTCCCTGTCCCTCCATTTCCACTTCCCTGCGCCCCTCACCGATGGCCAGCCCGTCTGTCAGGTTGTGGATCCCATCCCCCAGCACCACCATCCAGACAACATCAGTGGCCCTGGGTCTGGGGGGCAGCATGGGGCCGTGGGAGTGGCCGTGGGAGTGGCCGTGGGAGTGGCCGTGGGGCTTGAGCTCCAGCTCTGGCTCTGATGCTGTCAGGTGTCGCAGCTCAGCCCCTGCAGCAGAAGAGATGCGGGGTGGGTGCCAGGGCCGGGGCTGCGGGCGCTGCGGCGTTCGAGGGGGTCTTACCTCCTCGTGACGATGCCAAGACCCCCCTGGCCACATCAGGGGTTTCTCCAGGGGAGTGTCCCTGGGGAAGACAGAGGCACTGGGTGTGATGCTGGACCTGGTGGCAGCCCCGCACCCTCCACAGCACCCGTGGCTCTCACTGTGGCGTCCCGGCTCCGCCGTAGCATCCCCAGGAGCAGCTCCACCAGGAAGAGCAGGTAGATGCCCCCCAGCACCGCCAGCCCCTGCAGCACCGCGGTCCCCGGCTCCACCAGCATCTCCTGGTGCTTCCCCTGCGCCTGGACACGGGTGACCCGGCGGCTCAGGGGACCTGAATGCCCCGGTCCCCCCTTGGGTGCCTCGTGCCACCTCCGGCCCACTGGGGCAGGGGTACCTACGTGGGGCCAGAGGTGGAGCAGGGCGTCCCCGCAGAGCGTCCCCACGGCCAGTGCCACCAGGAAGGCCAGCAGCGAGTGGAAGAAGCTGTGGCTCAGCAGCGGGACGAGGAGGACGGCCAGGGCGGAGGGCAGGCTGATGAAGGTGACGGCCAGGACCCCCCAGCCCAGTGCTGCGAGGTGGGTGAGATGGGCACGGCCAGGGCAGGAGGGTGCAGGACCCAGGGGTGGGGGTCCTTGGGGGCGCAGGGATGGGGACCTCGGGACTGGGGATGTGGGGTGATGGGAACCTGGGGATGGAGGCACTTGGGGATGCAGGAGTGGTCAATGCAGGGATGGGGTGGCAGGGACTGGGGACATGGGGACCAGATGCTGGTCGGATCCAGGGATGGTGCTGAAGGGACAGGGGACCTGGAGAGCTGGTGATGGAGGAGCCAAGGATGGGGATGCAGGGACAGGGTCCACAGGGTCCAGCTGATGGGGACAAGGGGCTCAGGGTGAGTGGCCATGGGACCAGACGATGGGGGAGCCAGGGATGGGGCTGTAGAGATGGGGGACATGGGGACCAGCCACTGGGGTACCTGGGGATGGGGATGGAGTGATGTGAGACCTGGGGACCAGCTGATGGGGGACCTGGGGATGGGGCTGCAGGGACAGGGGACCCAGGGATGGATGGCCTGGGGCTGGGGGCCAGGGAGGGGCCCCGGGTTGGGGTTACCTGGCCACAGGGCCCCCCCCGGGGGAGGCAGTGTCACCTCATCGCTGTGCTGGATGCAGACGCGGCTGTCGATCTGGTAGAGCAGAGCCGGGCAAAGGAGGGTGAACTGCTCCGGCGTCAGCTGGGACACCGAGTCCAGCCCAAAATTCACCAGCAGCTGGGTGACATTGAGGCACTGGGGGGTGTGGGGGGGGCAGCGGTGAGTGGTGCTGGGGCTCTTGGGTCCCACTGGGGGACGAGGAGCAGCTGGGG